AGTTGAGGCAGGGACAGATTGTGGAAGGAATTCTATGGGAGAGTTTTTTGTTGGTTTCAGTGGTCCCTGGGAGTCCCTGAAAGTAATAAAGGACTGCTGTATCTGTAGCAAGACTATCTAGGGGTATAGCATGGATAGAATAAAATTGGAGCTTCCTATGTCACAGAGGAGATGCTGATAAAAATAATTGCTGACATTATGGCATGCTTTAGTACTAGCAATTACTTAATATTCCTCATAAGGTAGATAACTTTTGTTTTACCCATTTTGTACATGAGGAAATAGGCTAAGTGATTTCCCAGCTTCCTTTTAGAGCAAAATATTGGTTCGTCTTCCCCTTTTCACTTTTATAATTATAACCCTTTTCTTTTTTAAAACAAAATTATCAAAGCTGGGTGCTGGTGGTTCATACCTGTAATCCACTTTATCAGGAGACTGAGAACTGAAGATTGTGGTTCAAAGCCAATCCTGGACAGGAAAGTCCATAAGACGCTTATCTCCAGTTACCTAAAAAAAGCTGGAAGTGGAGCTGTGGCTCAAGTGGTAAATCACTAGCCTTGAATGAAAAAGCTAAGGGACTAGGAGGTCCCTTATCCTAGTTCCTGAGTTCAAGCCCTAGTTCCTGCACAGGAAGAAAAAATAAAAAACAAGACTTAGAAAGTCAAGATTTCTAGTCAAGCTTATCATAAAATTACAGGTCAGTATTAAGTCTCTTTATATATTTGAGCCTTTTCGTTTTATTAGATTTCATGATTTGTTACCTTTTATGTTATAATTGATTACCTTTTATATGTGTATTTTAAAAAAATCTCTTATCAATTTCTTATTCCTCATCAATGTTTTTATGAGAATAATGTATATACTACTTTAAACATATATGATAAAAAAGACAAGTCAAAATTCAAAGCTATTAACTAGTTAGCAAATAATGCATGTTGTAGAAGTTAAGTTTTCAAAAGCTAATTATTCATCATTTTTTAGTCCCCACCATTGTAACTACTTTTATTATTTCTAAATTTGCACTTGATTGTCATCAATTCTAGCCACTGAGCTGATGAATTTATTTTTTTCCTTCCATTATTCTACTGGAATACCAATGTATTTATGACCAGCTACAAGGTATTTCACTAGAAGGAGCCCAGTTAAGGAAGGTTTTCCTGTGTTAACTCCTATGCAGAATAGAGACTTTGCTTTCTTAGGAGAGAAAAAAGGAGGAAAGAGACAGGTGTGTGTGGTCAGAGAAGCTAGAAAGGATATGAAGGTTCTGCCAATTTTAGAAAATAAACCAAAGCCAACACATTCCTAATTTATTGAATCTGAGTTTCTTGTTAACTTAAATAACTTTAGTCCCTTGGATTTGATAATGGAGAATCTTTGTTGTCAACCTTGTAATTTACACAGATACATACACTGTAGTTACTAGTTTATGAATTTATTAAATGTTGCATTGGAACTGTTGGTCTCCCCCCCAAAGAAAGGTTTGTGTGGGATATTTCATATTAAAAAAACGTTCAGTCAGATTCAACCTTTTTATATTAATCTGGATTTAAAAATTGGAAAGATCAACTTTTTAAAATTACATGTTGTAATGCTTTTGAACAAAAGGCATTATACAAGTGAATCTGCTGTATGAAGAATCGTTTTTGTAAAGAGAGACCTTGTTAGCCTTGGCACTTACTAGGAACAGTCCTCAATCTGGATGGTGAAGTAAGACAATATTTTACATACATCCTTAGATGAAATGCTCAGAATTTGTCAGTGATTCATTTCTGATAACCTTTTTCTTAAGCTACATGTAATCTAATGGTGATAGCATTTAACGAGACATTTTAATGAATTAAAATTGTTTCCTGCTTCTTAGATTTTCTTATGTTCTTAGGGAAATTACCATTGTGTTCACTCTAGTGCCTAGTATAGTGCCTCAGAAGTGATAAGATACTAGGAACTCTTGGCTAAAATGAAGCCCCATCATTCAAACCCTATAAGATACACATCATTTATAGGTGCAGACATACTGAAGTTCCCTAGAGCTATAAAATAGCATCAGAAGTACATAAATATCATGGGAAATATGCTGTTATGTCATAATACTTCATAGTAAATGATTGTAAAGTGAGCCATTTTCTTTTTGTATTCTAGGGTATGGAGGATGTTATATTTAGGAATGATGTTACGAAGTTCTTCACTATGGCCATGTAGGAAAAATTTAAGTATTTGAGTTCCTCTTGTACATAGATTTATATTAAGTATTTTTTGTATAGGAAACATTAAAAATGTTAAAATTTGAATATCAGGACTACATTTTCAGATTGCCATCTTAACTTTTGTAGGTGATTTCTTTTAACTATTATGAAAATCCCAAAATCTATGGACACCACTATCTATTAGCAGTTAGGACTTTTTAATTGGCATGAGTGTGATTAAAAAGCAGTGTCCTCAGCGAAAGAGAATTGTCTTCACATTCTCTCTAATTTAGTAGTAAACTTCCTAAGAAAGGATTGAACTGAATTGCTCATGATGTAAGACATTTTATGATCATATGTAAAGTATTTGTCTGAAAATTTGCTTTTAAAGGATGATTTGCTGTACTCTTTGGAAGATTGACCTTATCTGTATTTTACTGATTAGATTGAAACCCTGGCAAATCAGGTAGTGTACCTAAGATTTCATAGCTTGTAAGTGGAAGAGCTATTACATGAACTTAGCAATAACAAGTCTGGTTCTAGAAGCCAACCTCATTTTCCCTATCTGTCGGTTGTGAATAATAAAACCTCTACTTTAAATGATTGTGAATATTGAGTTAATGCAGTAAGGTACCTATGGCATATCCTTGGCACCTTATAGGTGCTCAATAACAGATAGCTGCTACTATGAATCATTTCCTATTATAACTACTATACTGCCAAGAGGCACTTAATATTTTCTTATTTTTAGCACTCTTGGTTTCTTTATAATATCAGTCAAAACCTTTGAATTAAAAAAAATGTTTATTAATCCCCGTTGACTGGAAGCCCTGTCAGTGAATTGTGAAACATTTTCACATTTAAAAAAATCAAGTAATGTCTTGAGGAAGTAAACTAAACTTCGGATTTTCCATCCTTCCCCTGATTTTCATTCTCACTCTGTACTTTCAGGAATCAGAAGAGTTGTCCTCAACCAGCAAGTTCTTTTTGCTTTCTAAATTGCTGTGGCCCTATACTGAGCATTCCAAATGCCATTAAAATTCAGATTTTCATCCATTTGCATGTGGAATTACAGAATTCAGTATGAATCAAAGGAAGCAGAGATTGTTATTTTCATGTGAAAATATACATATTCTCATGATTCAAAATGAGTGAAAAAATTTTAAGTCTGTGCTGAGGACACAGATTATATTATACTGTCACCAAAGGAATGTTTGGGCTTTTTGCTATTGTTTTGTATTGGTACTTGGCTTAAACTCAGGGCCTGGTTACTGCCCCTGAGTTCTTTTGCTCAAGGCTAGTGCTCTTCCATTTGAGCCACAGTGCCACTTCTGGCTTTTTGTTTATTAGTTGGAGATGAGAGTCTCACTGACTTTCATGCCTGGGCTGGCTTTGAACTGCAGTCCTCAAATTTCAGCCTCCTGAGTAGGTAGAACCACAGGTGCTTGGAATATATATTTAATCATAGATTTTTCTCATTGATATCCTTATATAGGAAGTAGAAGTTGTAGAAATGATTTTAAAAGTTTTAATCCTTACAATCCAACCAGTTTTGAGTTATAGTCATCCCTTGGGCTTCCAAGATACTGATTCCTGACCTCTGAGATATCAAAATTTGGAGATGTTCAAGTCTCTTTCATAAAATAGTACAGTATTTACAGATATAGCCTATATACATTCCCCCCTTAGTCCTTAAAATCCTCTCTAGACTACTTAATAATATACAAATGCTATGAAAATAATTATGACACCATATTTAAAGATTGACAACAAATTAGAAACTCTATACATGATCCATACTGCACAATCCTTCTTAGGTTCATTTTCATTCTGTGGTTGGTGGGCTCTCTGAATGAAAAGCCAGAGGATAAAAAGACCCTGTCCTTCCTTGGTAAGGACTAGAAGCACCCATAGTTTCACTTTTTGTATTCGGTAATAAGCAATCCAGATAACAATTTACACGCTAAGATTTAAATCTTCTAAGCCAAAACACCTCGTGTGTGTGTGTGTGTGTGTGTGTAAACTTTAAATACTTTTTAGTTATTGTTTGTTTGAGACCAGTTCTTACTATATTTCTTAGGCTAGTCTCAACCTTCTGGGGCTCAAGAGATCCTCCTGCCTCGATTTCTGCAGCAGCTGGTTGCTAGCCAGCATGCCCTAACTCAGGTTTTAAAATTTGAACCTAAAACAGAGCTTTCCAACTCACTATCCTGCTTTTATATGGCTCATAATAACATTCTCGTATTTTTATTTTTCCACCATATCTCTGCAAGTTGGATAGTGTTTGTTCAACAGAGAATTCAGCCATCTCTGCCCCACCAGATGTTTGAATTTTTTGAATGTTTGAGTAAAAAGAGAGGGTGGAGGGGAGAAGTGAGGAAGAACTGAGGGAAAGGAATGGGGGAAAACAGACCTCTCACGTATCTAGTGGAAGAAAGAAGCACTTGTAGGCAAGTACCCCTGAGTGGTTACAAGAATGATGATATATTATTGAAGCATGAAAGAGGATCAGAATCAGTTTTTGTCTCAGGCTTCAAATTTTCACGAGTCTGAGATAATAGTGATAGTAGCAACACAGTGGAAGTGCTTGATGTTTCAAATACTTTGAAAGCTTTAGTTCATTAAGCAGCCTTTTATCTTACTATCCTCACCCACAGCTGTGCACACGTAGCTGTGGGAGAAGGGTGGTAACTTTCGTAGGCCAATGTCCAATTTAATGAGCAAAATATAACCAAAGTCAATATCTTAAAAACATGTTTTCTAGGAATAATGTACATTCTCCTCACCCTACCTAAGAAAAGACAACGGGAGACAGGTGGGGGGTGGGAGTGGGGAGACGATAATAACTCAAGTTAAAAATGAGTCAGATTTTAAAACGGCGAGATTTGTATTTGGGGGCTGAATGAATCATTTCCAAAAGCAATGAAAGGGGAACTAGAGACATTTTGGGCATTTAATCCAAACTATGTAAATGGGTTAGAGATTGCCTTGTTCTCTCTCCTCTCTCAGTCCGATTTCCTGGTCCCCTTTTTCGTTTGACAAGAAGTTCAAGTCTCTGGGAGCAATCGTCACCTCCACTTGTGGGCCACTGAGGCACACGTGGGTAGCTTCACGCGCGCGGGTCTTTAAGCCGACACCTGGGCTGGCACCTGGCGGCACTTCCACACCTGCCTGCGGTTCCCTGCGTGCCGGGCGTCCGCTCCGACGCGGCTTCCCATTCATGCTTCTGACAACCGTGTGGCCGCCCGCCGCCCAGAGCGACGCGGCCGGCGCGCGAGCTCCTCCACCCGGGGCCCTGAGCCCCGGAGGGGGGCCCGGCGACGACACGCGTCGGTGCACCGAGGTCGGCCGGCTGCTCCGTAGGTGGCAGGCTGCGTTTCTGACTTCTCCCTGGCTGCTCTCCGGGGGCTTGACGAGCAAACTTCGCCGGAGCGAGCAGAGAGGGAGGGACCGGCGAGGGGGAGGAGGCGGCGGGAGGCGCCTCCGCTTAAGGGAGCCGGCCGGGCGCCGCCGCTGGGACGGACGCGCGGACGGAAGGAAGGAGCGGGGCCGCCAGGCCCGGCCTGGGGATGCGAGCGGCCGCAGGGTGGGCGGCCGGAGAAGCGGGGGTGCAACTTGGGCTTCCTTGCCGCGGGCTGCCCCGTTGGGGCGCGGGACCGGGGCTAACTCCGGGCGCCGGCCTCCTCGCCCGGTCCTCGGGGCAGAGGCAAGCCAGCGGACCCGCCGCCGCAGAGCCGGGCCGCCACGGCCGCCCCGGGAGCCGCGCGGGGCGAAAGCGAAAGCGAGCCGGCCCCGCGGACTTTGCGCCCGGAGCTGGGGGCGGCGGGGGAGGAGGCGGGCTAGGGGGCTGGGAGGCCCGGGGGCGCTGTCAGCGCGCCCCACCCGGCCTGCGGGCCGCGCACGCCGCCGGAACTCCCCGGCGCCTCCTTAAAAGCAGCCCCCGCGCGACTCTTTTCCCCCTTTTTTGTTACATTGTAGGAGCGGAAAGAATGTCGGAGCGGGCCGCGGATGACGTCAGGGGGGAGCCGCGCCGCGCGGCGGCGGCGGCGGGCGGAGCAGCGGCCGCCCGGCAGCAGCAGCAGCAGCAGCAGCCTCCGCAGCCCCAGCGGCTGCCGCCGCCGCCGCGGCGCCTACGGCCGGAGGACGGCGGCCCGGGCACCGCCTCCACCTCGGCCGCCGCAATGGCGACGGCAGGGGAGCGCAGGCCCCTGCCTAGTCCCGAAACGATGCTGGGACAGTCGTGGAATCTATGGGTCGAGGCTTCCAAACTTCCTGGGAAGGACGGTGAGTGTCCCCGCCCTCCTCTGCCCCACGCCCCGCGCTCCCCCCCCCCCCCCCCCCCGTCTCCCACTCCCCTCCCCCTCCCGTCCTGTGACCCGCCCCCTCGGGGGTCGGAGATGCTATCTTTCGCTGGGTTGCGGAAGGCGGAGGTGCCCACACCTACCCCGTGCGTGCGTGAGCGTGCGTCACACTCCTGGCCACTGACCTGCCTCTCCCTCCTCCCGTGTGTGTGTATCTCCTAGGGACGGAATTGGACGAAAGTTTCAAGGAGTTTGGGAAAAACCGCGAAGTCATGGGGCTCTGTCGGGAAGGTGAGTCCAGCCCAGCCCCCCTGATGGAGATTGTGCATCCCCCCGGGAAGTTCCCGCTTGCTGCTTCCTCAGAGCCAACAACTTAAGCCCACCTAACCCATTCACCTCTCCCCTCCCCGCCATGCTCCCGGAGGAGGAGAGCTAGCAGAACTTTAGGAAGTCTGGTTTCTGGGGTCTTGGGTAATGAGAGCATCCTGAAGTATTTCAGTGGAACCCTGGCAAGGTACAGCAGCATGAGAGGCAGTGCTGGATGATGAATCCTTTGGCAATCAGATAGAGTTGAACCTAGAACTCTTCAGGTCTCATCCTTTTATGAAGAACACCAATGGAGGAATTTTCAGCTTTAATACAGTATCCTAAGTTTTCTTCTAGAAATCAGACTGAATATCGAACTTGATAAAAGGTGACATCTTACTTGTGCAATCTTATTTCTGTGGGATTTTAAATACGTTTAGAATCATTACAACGGAGGAATGCAGTTGGTCAGACTTTTTTGGGCTTGTCCAATAAGCTGGGGAAGGAGCCTATATGACCCATAGTGAAAGCAGAGCCGTCTGATTAATGTTAAGTTGTTTAGTTAGAAGGATAGCCCAGAGAAATATGTGTAGGCGAAGGTGTGCTGCTAATGCAGGTCGGGTATATGGAAACTGTAAGATGTGTCGAGATTTCCTTTTAAAAAAAAAAAATTCCCTTTCCTTGAATAGTCAGCTTTTGCTTCTTAATGCCTGTCCCGGACTGGGAACTAGAGAGAAAGAACAAGACCTTGATTAAGCCTTGGGATCCAAATACTGATTTTACATCTCCATTACAATTTGATTTGTCACATGTAGCCATTTATTTGGCAGAGTTTTTTTTTTTTTAATCTAGAGCTCAGAAATAGGTAGAAATTTGGCTGCTCAATTTTTTTTAAGTCCAGAAATGGCTCATTATTACTATCTATATTTCCTTTTGGTTTTTAGCACCTGCTTTTTCTTCGCACTTACTCTTTTTTGTTTTTGTTTTTGTTTTTTTCCCACCTGGCTATTGGGCCTGTTAGCATTGTAAGGAAAAGTAGTGCTGTTGGCAGCCCTATGAGAGCTTTCAGTTGGAACACATTCTAGAGCAAATTAGTTGATTTTCAAAATGAGAATTGTTATTTGAGGGCAAAGGAAAGGGCGAAAACACAGGACTTATGGGTGATGTTGCAACAGAAAAAAAAAATCAGTTGTTAGTCCGGTTTTAGTGTTGAATTGGCATTCCGCCTGGGCTTAAAAAATTAAAATCACTAGGTGGCAACTCTCATAGGAAGTAGTTGGATAGAACTTTAGAGGATCTGACCCTCTGGGTGTGGATACATTTCCCATAGAGAATTCCTAAATCTGTAAGGAAAAAATATACTAATTACTGATAATTTTCCTATAGAGGATGAGTAAATATCTTAGTGTCTCACTTCACGCTTTAATCTGGAGTTAGCCCTAACACCAGTTTAATGGCCTGGCTCCAATCTTGCTCTATTTATTTTCTATTTATTTATATATTTGGTAATGAATTTGTCAGCAAATTTTCCAGGAATATTTAAGATCTCTTAACTCACTACTCTGGATGAGTATGTTTCTGAACTGTGGAATTAATAGTGTTTATTAGAGGTGTTGTTTTTTTTTTTTAATTAAGATACTCCTTTTGAAAAAAAATTTGTGGGGGAGTGCCATTCTAGGGCTTGAAGTTAGGGGCCTGGCCTGTGTGCTGTCCCTGAGCTTTTATTTTTTCTCAAGGCTAGTGTTTTACTACTTGAACCACAATTCTAACTTTTTGGTGGTTAGAGGCTTACTGACTTTACTGTCTCCGCTGGCTTTGAACCATAATCCTCACATCTCAGTCTTCTGAGTAACTGGCACTGGACTTAAAGCTATTCTTAAAGTTTACAGTATGGGGGCTGGGAAGGTGGCTCAGTGGTACAGTGCTTGCCCTGCATGCATAAGGCCCTGGGTTTGATTCCTCAGCACCACATAAGCAGAAAAGCCAGAATGGCGCTGTGACTCAAGTAGTAGAGTGCTAGCTAGCTTTGAGCTGAAGAGCTGAGGGATGAGCACACCCAGGCCCAGAGTTCAAATGCCACGACCAACCAAAAAAAAAAAAAAGAGAGAGAGAGAGGCTGCTATAGATACTAGATAACCAAGCTGGAACTATGCTTGATTGAATAGAAGTGGTAGCTTTTTGTTTTGAGGGGATTTTTTTTTCCTTTTTGTGGTACTGGAGTTTGAACACAGAACCTTGGTCTTGCTAGGTAGGTACACAACACTTGAGCTATGCTTCCAACACTTTTTCTTTGGTGGGATTTTTGTTTACTAATTTTTGCCCAAGCAGGCTTGCCTGGACTGGGATCCCCTATATATGCTTCCCAAAGTAGCTAGGTTGACAGGCATACGTTACCCTGTTCAACTTTCTTTTGAGAAGGGGACTTGAAAACTTTTGCCTGGGCTGGCCTTGAACTGCTACCCTCCCAAACTCATCCAAGTAGTTAGGATTACAGGCATGAGTCACACTACACCCAGCTTATTCTAATTCTTTTTGCAAAAGAGATGAAATTGTGAGTAAATATGTAGATAAATGAATTGTATGAAGAACCATACGTTTGGCACTTACCTTGGAAGAATATTCACCTGACTTGTAATACAATTTATCTCCTTTAGGAAGCCATGTCTAACCTCTCTTAAATTTATTGTATGACCTTTTCCTGCTTCCTGTCTGTCACCATTGGAAAATAGGGATTATGTTATGGCTTCTCTACAGTGCCTGTCCCAAAAGTTAGAGGCATTGTTGATGAAGGAATGTACCACTCTTGCACATTGCTGTGCTCAGTAAATATTTGCTAAAAAAAAAAAAAGAATTGGGACACAAGGATGATTGAATTGAGCCAGTAGAGGATGAATGGTTCAAATGATGGATTTTCCATAGTATTCTTACTCTACAAAGACAAGATACTTAACACACAGTGTAGAGATTGTAGGGGAACATTCTCCTTTGGCACTAGGGGAGGCCAGAGGCTGTGTTTTCAGCACTTCCCTTTTCTCTGGCCACAGTTTAGTGCTTCACTTACACTTTGCATAAAGAGTGAAGACAGTATACTATTTGTGTTACCTTTGATATTTAGGTAGGAGAGGAGGGTAGTAACTAAGATTGGTACCACACTTAGGGACAGATAATTTCGCTATCAAAATAATGGGGAGGAAGTGGTGCTGTGGTAGAGCACTAACTAGCCTTGAGCTGAAGAGCTGAGGAACAGTGCCCAGGCCCAGAGTTCAAGCCCCACGACAGACAAAAAAAAAAAAGTCAAAATAATGAGGACATAGCTGAGTCTGTAGCAAGATGGATAAGAGGTCAGTGGGTACTATAAGCAGTTAAGTGTTTTGTTGTAATTTTTAATTTTTTTTAAAGCAGAAAGGTTCAGTACATGGGTAGTCTCAATACAGGCTTGAGTCAACACATCACCCTTTTTCTTTCCTAGGAGAAAAAAAATGGTTCATAGTTTGCTGAAAACAGGTATTTGTGTGACTTATACTGTTAAAGATACTACATTATAGACATAAAATCTTTGCCTGAAAAGTCTTTTTATTCTTTGATTTCTCCTATTTCCCCTACCCTCATCTTTTTCATGTGAACAATTGGAAACAGAAAAGCCAAGAAAATATTTTAATGAACCTTCTTGTAGCCATCACATAGCTTCAGTAGCTTCAGTGACTAATGAGTCATAGCCCAATCGTGCTTCATTTCTGCCCCACAGTGAATTATTTTGAATGTATTGCGAAGATTGTAGCATTTCTTCTGGTTTCCTTTTTTTTTTTTTTTCCTGTTTGTATAGACTTCCACTTGTGTCCTTTTATGTATGCTGTGTCTTTGTTTGAGGCTTGCCAGGACTGCCATTTCAGACCTAGCTGTTCACATGGCAAGGGGGACTCTAGAACAGGCCTTTTACAGGGATCAGTGAAAAGTAAATTCCCTTCCTCAATCACCTGGAAGCATGTTGAACATGAATGCATACTTGCAAAGCACTTGTGTGATTTGGCTGCTGGTGTTCTCACTAGAGAGACACCTGTAGTGAGCTTCAGGGCTGCAGTGACTGCATACTCCCTTGAAAGCTGTACTAACCCATGAAAGAAGGGCCTCTAGGTCTCAGGCCACTACTCCTGCACCAGGTCTCTTTCCTCACTTGCGCCACCCTTGGTCAAACGCTACCTGTAGTCCAGTTAACAATGCTGTATAAGCCAGGCACTGGTGGCTCATGCCTGTAATCCTAGCTACTGAGGAGGCTGAGATCTGAGGATCACCGTTCAAAGCGAGCCCGGATAGAAAAGATCGTGAGACTCTTATCTCCAATTAACCACTAGAAAACCAGAAGTAGTGCTGTGACTCAAGCGGTAGAGCGCTTGCCTTGAGCTGAAGAGCACAGGGATAGCTTCCAGGCCCAGAGTTCAAGCCCCATGACCAGCCCCCCCCTCCCAAAAAAAAAAAATGCTATCTAGCTGGGTGCCAGTGGCTCACACCTTTAATCCTAGCTACTCAGGAGGTTGAGATCTGAGGCTTGTGGTTCAAAGCCAGCCCTGGCAGGAATGTCCACGAGAGTCTTATCTGCAGTTAACCACCAGAAAACTGGAATTGATGCTGTGGTTCAAGTGGTAGAGCACTTGCCTTGAGCTGAAGAGCTGAGGGACAGTGCCCAGGCCCATAGATGAACCTCCCCCCCCCCCCCCAAAAAAAGTATATACATTGCTGAATGGATAAAAACTCCAAAGGAAGATTTCATGACACGTGAAAGTTATATGAAGTTCAGATGTCAGTTTCCCAAAGTTTATTGGAACATATCGACAAGCATTCATTTACTTTCTGTCCACAACTGCTTTCTCTAAACACCAAAGAGAGTTAGGGAGGTGTATTGGAGCCACACTGTTGGTCCCTTGACAGAAGTTGGCCAACTTCTGTTCCAATGAATTGGTTCCTTGGTTGATGAAAGCAAATCTATTCTG